GGTACTACATCAGGAAGACATGAACATCCCAAGGCAGAAGCTAAAAATGGTAGAGTCCCTTAAAGAAGAAATGAAGCATTCCCTTAGAGAAATGGAGAAAAAGACAAGCAAAAAAATGTGAAGAAATGAGTAAATTCCTTAAAAAGTCAAGAAAAGCAGGAAAAAACAAACAAACTAGTCTAAGACTTGAAAATTAGAATGGAAGAAATAAAGAAAACATAAATGGAAGGAATTCTGGAAATAAAAAATGTGAGGAAATGAACAGGAACTTCAGAAGCAATTATAACCAAAGAATGCAAGAGGGGGAAGAGAGACTCTCAGGTGTTGAAACTACAATAGAGGTTAAACACAACATTAAAGCCAAGAAAGTCATAATAAAAAATGTCCAGGAAATCTTGGATACCATATAAAGGCCACACCTAAGAATAATAGGGATTCGAGGAAGAAGTATACCTGCTTTAGAAAGGCCCAGAAAATATGTTCAATAAAATCATGAAAGAAAGTTTCCCATCCTAAAGAATCAAATGATTATGAAGATACAAGAAGGTTAAAGAACACCAAATTGACTGGAAGAAAAACAACAAAAATTTTCCCACCACATAATAATAAAAAAACACAGTACATACAGAATAAAGAAAAATATTAAGTGTTGCAAAGGAAAAGGTTACATAACATAAAGCAGACACATCAGAGTCACAATGCAGAAACTCAAAGCCAAAATGCTCTGGACAGACACTATGCAGTCACTAAGAGTTCATGAATTCCAACCCAGATTACTATATCCAGCAGAACTTTCAACTACCATAGATGAAGGAAAAAGATATTCTATAACAAAACCAGAGTTATGTAATACCTAGTCGCCAATCCATCCCTACAAAAAGCATTAGAAGGAAAACCCCAACCCAAAGAGGTTAGACATACTGAGTAAAGTACAGACAATAAATAATGCCACACAACAAATCTTAAAGAAAGGAAAACACACACACACAGAGAGAGAGAGAGAGAGATAGATACATACATACATACATACATACATACATGCATACATAGATGGGGGTGAAGGAGACAGAATCACAACCTCCCCCAAAATAACAACAAACAACAATCACTGTTCATTGACATCCTTTAAAATCAGTGATCTCAACTCTCCTATAAAAAGGCACAGGTTAACAAAGTGAATAGGAAAACAGGATCCACCCTTCTGCTGCATACAGGAAACTTACCTCAACTTGAAAGACACACATTTGCTCACAGTAAATAGGGTACAGAGCTAAACAGAATTTTCAACAGAAGAATTTCAGATGACCAAAATGTACTTAAGGAAGTTATCAACATCCTTAATCATCAGGGAAATACAAATCAAAATGACAATGAGATACCATCTTACACTTATCAGAATGAAGCAGAGACAGATACCCACAGCTAAACACTGAGCTGAACTCCTGGAACTTAGTGACAGTGATGGAGGAGTGATGAACAAAGTGGTCAAGACCGAGATGGTGAAATCCACAAAGACCAGATAAGGGGGAGCTCTTGAATCCCAGACTGATATGCCTGAGAGGCCAACAGGGGACTGATCCAGACTCCATGAATGTAGTCTCAGTGAGGAGGCCACAGATACCACTGGGGCCTTGGGTAGCAGATCAGTGTTTACCAATGGTTTATGAATGATCTTTGGGAGCACATTCCAAACAGAGGGATGCTCTCTCAACCTGGACACATGTGGGAGAGCCTAGGTCCTGCCCTGGATGAAATGACAGACTTTAGAGATTTCCCCAAGGGGGGGCCTCACCCTCCCTGGGGAATGATGTGGTTATTCGGTGGGGGGCTGGGATTGACATGTGACACATTCATGTTTCTAATTTAAATAAAAGCATTACAAAAAATTCTGAGGACAGTTTATGTTGGAAAGAATGTAGACTCAGTGTAACTCTCCTCCACTGATGGTGGGACTACAAACATCTTCAGCCATTTTGTAAATCAGTTTGGAAGTTTCTAAGAAAGCTGGCAATCAATCTACATCAAGACCTAGTGATATCATTATTGGGCATTTACCCAAAGGATACTCATTCATACCATATGGACATTTACTCAACAATGTTCATACCAGTATTATTCATAATAGACAGAACCTGGAAACAGCCCAGGTGCTCCTCAACTGAAGAATGGATAAGGAAAATGTGGGATATTTAGACAAAGGAGTACTATTCAATTAAAAAATGATGGTCTCATGAATTTTCAGGCAAATGGATGGAGCTAGACATAATCATCCTGAGTGAGGTAACACAGACTCAGAATGACAAACATGATATGTATTCACTCATGATTTTAAATTATATGTAAACCAGAGGATAAATGCACTAAGGTCTTCAGCCCCAGAGAAGCTAGGTGACAAGGAAGATCCTAGGAGGGACAAATGGATACCCTGGTAAAAGAAATTAGATGACATCTACAGGGTAAACTGTGGGTGTGGGCCATAAGGGGGATGACAGGGAAGAGAAGAGGAGGGAATGAGATGTTCTGGTTGGGGGTGTATGTAGTGGAAGAACACTGAAAATGATATTTTAACACGGAGATCCAATGTCAGAGGAAGCTACTCTCCTGGATTACTCCCTCCCAATTACATATCTTGAAAAAGGTTTGGAGGAAAACCTTTTTTTTACAGGCATGAATCAGAATCTCTTCAGGGAAACAACCTTAGGGGAGTGGAGTAGAAGTAACAACATTTCACCAGATGCAGAGTAGATTGCTATATTACTGCAGTGGTTTCCCCCTTAGTCATGTGAAACACAAGAGGTAACAACTTGAGTCAGAGTTCAGAAGAAATGGATACATTGGCTGGAAACCTCCATTACCAGATTGGAGCAGAGCTCAGATGTAATGGCTCTCTTGGAGAGGGACAGGATTGCCACATCATGTAAGGAAACCATTCTCCATGAGACCACAACTTCACGTACAGCCTGACTTCCTGAGAAGTCAGGATACTTGTTCCCTGACAGTTGTAGGTATCTAAGATACTGTCCATTCACAGCTGTAGGCATAGCCTGACTTCCCAAAATGTCACGATACATTTCCCTGCAGAGCTGTAGATATCCAGGACAACTTCCCTTCACAGCTTAAGTTATAGTCTGGCTTTCTGACAAGTCAAGATAGCTTTCCCTCCAGCTCCTCAACAATTAAAAATGTGGCCTGACTTCCCAACAAGTTTGAACATCTTACTCAACAGGCAGTGACATGTGCACCAACAACTCAAAATGCCTTTGATACAATATCCTCTTAATTCTGTTCCTAAATAGCTTCAAATATAATGCCTGAAATTATCAAGTCTCACAGAATACTCCAGCTAGTGTCAACAATTATCCTGCTCTTCTCCAAATTCCCCTAAAGATGCCAACCCCCAAAAGGACAGAAAGCAATCTATAGAAAGTACTGCTACATTTCCCCAAAATGGGACATGGATGTTTGTCATGATTTAAAGAGAGTTAACTAGAAGTTGATGTTAGTCATAGTTAGCAAAAGCTGTAAACAATGGAGTAGTATTCAAGGATCTCTTTCTGAAGGAAAAAGGGGATAGAATACAGAAATGAAGATATAATAGAACAGATTATTGAACCTACTTTAGTCCAAAAAGCAACTACTATTCTCAAAATGTTTTACATTTGTGTGGTTTTAGTTTATTGACACAAATTACAAGACATTTTGGCAATACTATATGTATGTTTTCTACTATTGTTTGGAGTATTGTGCAGTTTGCTAATTGACAGTTTAAGCTTCTCTGAGATCTAAGACTTCACTGTCTCTTAGTAGTAGGTTTGCTTTCTAGAACTAGGCCTGCTTAATCTCTTCACAGTCAGAAATGATGTTCATCATCAGATACCAACAGTATTTTTGACAGCTCCTGCAAAGTTACCACAACGAGGACAGCATTCACACTAGTACAAGTACAACAATTTATTGTGCTTTTGTTTAATGATATCCTATTGACAAATTTTTAATTAATTCATTCCATGGTTTTTATGAAATTGTGATGAATTCTGAATAACAATTTAATAGTAAATTGCAGTTTGTAACAAATTCATGATGTTAGAAGACTACAAAAAATTCAAGAAAAAGCAGTGAATTGGAAGATCACCCAGATAAAATATATGTAGATGTCTATAAGTTAGTTTATTCAGTGAGATATAAAATAGTTGGAAATGTGATATATGTCATCAGGCTGTTAATCAGGAGGTCCACATAGTAGTGACTTGTTGTCATTGACATTGGGTAATAAAATAAAATTCTTGGAAGTCTACACTCCAACATAGCATGCAGCATATTTTTGCAAGGATCTAATATTATGTTGATAAAGATTACATTTACATTTGAAAACCTGGAAACCTTCAGTATAATCACACAACCCAAATTAAGTATGATAATTTAGTAAAGCACCTTGAGATTTTAAGAAAAAGATGACATTCTTTTACAAATCTGTTATATTAAAAGTTGAATATAAAAGAAAATTGAAATCTATGTTTTGACATAGTGATTGAGAGATAAGAGGAAATTTTACCACATTTAAAGCATATGATTATTGCAAGTGGAGGACAGAATGCATTAAATTGTAAAGCCAATTAAATCATTAATATGAATATTAACAGTCCATATTAGACAACAATATAAATTCTCATCATGAGCCAGGTGTGTGGCTGGCCATCCTTAGTCTCAGTACATGAGAAGCAAATGAAGGCACAGTTAAAAATATTGTGGTCTTCACAGAAGTTTTCAGACAAGTGCAGATACAAAATGACATTCTGCTCATATGAAAATATTACCTGGATTTTAGACATATAAACTTTCAGTATCTCTTGCATAAAGAGGTTCAAAAACAATTTAATGAACAAATAATATTCAAAGAATCAAGCTTGTAGTATAATTGTGTAACACATTTGAAGTTGAGTTCAACTGGATGTCGTCTTTCAAATTAATCTCTTAATATAAGAACTATGTCTAGTTTTGAACTAGGTTTTGAGGTTATTCCTTCTAGAACGTGACCTGTTCCTGATATGATATAGACTATTCTTATCTGGCCTTATCAAGATAATGTAGCACTTTGGGGCAAAAATGAAGCCAAGGAGGGATGCACTAGAAGTCAAGATAGAGAAGACTTCCATAGCCACCATGACCTTCCCCTTGGTGCTGTGGTAGACAGGGAGGAATGTGACCCAGACACAGAAGAACACCAGCATGCTGAATGAGAGGAATTTGGCTTCATTGAATGTGTCTGGTAGATTCCGGGACAAGAAAGCCACAGCATAACTCCCAAGTGCCAAGGAGCAGAGGTATCCCAGGACACCATGGAAGGCAAAATCTGAGCCCTTGTTGCACATAATGATGATATGTCCATGTTCTGCATAAGCATCTTGGTCAAGAAAGGGAGGAGAGGTTCCTAGCCAGATTGCACAGAGGACAAGGTAGATCAGAGTACATATGGGGATGATTAAGTTTGGGGCCTTTGATATTACTAACCACCTCACCACTCTGTTTGGAAAAGTGACCTTGAAGGCAATAACTACTGTGATAGCTTTGGCCAACACAGTGGCAAGAGCCACAGTAAAAGCACCTCCAAATGTGATCTGCTGCAATATACAAGCAGTAGTGTTGAGACAACCAATGAAGAGAAAGGTACAGAGGAAGCAGATGGTGAGTGTGATGAGCAAGGTGTAGCTTAGTGTCCTATTATTAGCCTTGACAATTGGAGTGTCTCTGTTCTTCACAAAGAGCCCAAGAACCAGAGCTGTGAGTACAGAGAAGCAAAGAGCTACAGTTGTGAGAGACATCCCCAGGGGGTCCTTGTAGTCAAGAAAACTCACAACTTTCTGGAGGCATTGCTTCTTCTCCGGGTTTGCATAATGACTTTCTGGACATTTAATGCATTGATCCATATCTGTTCAGAAATGAAGGTGATCATGAGTCTATGTTGAGTTGTTAATTTTTTCCTAGGGCATTTCTCAGTGCCTGCTCCTTGGATTATTATCCAAGTTACTTTCCTTTATTCTCAGGGACAATAGAAAATGTACTCGGCAGTGAATTATTCCATATTTATACATCCTGTCTTCCTTATTAGATATTTTACTTATTATTTATATGCACATAAATGTGTGTGAATCTAACACAGTCCTCTTTTCTCCTGCTACACTCCTCACCTTCTCTCACTTTTCCCTCTCAACTCAATGTTCTCTCTATCTCTTGTTTTTACATTTTAATACATATTGAGTCTATTCAGTTATGCTTGTATATACAAAATGTGAGCACATGGGTAGCAATTCAGAATCCACAACTTTAAGGAAAAGTGATGTCCCTCTTTTTCTAGTCATCAGTTGCTCAGTAGCTTCTTCTCCAGCTCATTTTCTTTATAGTGATATTAATCAAAGAAATCTTATGTCTTTTCTCTCTTATGATTTCTGCTGCTGTTTGTGCTAATGGTGTATCTGTGGTCAAATATATTTGAAAATTTCTGTATTGAGCACAAACTTCATTTTGTGTATCCCATCTTATGCCATATTTTCACTATTAATTGGATAGTTGTATACAGCAAAAGTGGTATAATTGCTTTTGAAATAATTTTCATAGAGTTCTTGAATGTGGATTCAAATTTTTCTTATTTTCATAATTTTTTGTTTTATAGTTTTGTTTCTTCTCTGCTGAAGCTTTACTGTATAAGAATTGCTACATTTTCAAAGGCTTGAATAGTGCACTAGTGAACATTTGTCATTACTACTGAGGAAATGTCACAATCATTTAAACATTTCTAGAGTATCTAGTAAAAAAGTCTTGAAAGTTTGTAAAATTCATTTTGTGTTTGAAATTCAGGCAGATGGATTTGTATACATTACATTTCCACTGTCAATTTTTCCTATATTTCTTAAAACGAAATCAGCACTAGATCATCATACTTATTTTCTTGATAAACTTAATAGATATTTAAATATACTTTAGCAGAATAAAATTTATTTCTTATATGTCTTGTAAATATTTACTTGTTTCCTTACATTATTGTGACACTTTGACATAACTCTTCTTAGGACCTAATTTAAAGATTTTATCTCAATGCCAGTTATTTCCTTTCTTTTATATGGAAGTATTTATTTTCTTTTCATTTTCTATTTTGTAATGAATAATTCAAATATATAACTCCATCACTTAATAAAGGTACATAATAGATATAGTAAAATTAGTTTATATAGAATGAGGATCTCTATTCCAAGATACTATTAACTTTTTGTGTAACATTCAAGCAGTAATCTTTTCTACTTCAAGTGTTTAGTAGAAGTAGCCCCCATAATTTCTTTGTTTGTTTTTTTGAGACAGGGTTTCTCTGTGGCTTTGGAGCCTATCCTGGAACTCATTTTTTAGACCAGGCTGGCCTCGAACTCACAGAGATCCACCTGCCTCTGTCTCCAGAGTGCTGGGATTAAAGGCATCCACCACCAATGCCCAGCTCCACCATAATTTTTGCCATAAACTTATTAACTATGAACTAAGAAGTTCTTTTTATGTGTAAGTGAAACACTCTTTACATGTACGCCAAAATATTCACATAACTACCATAAAACAAATTGCCAATATATATGTACATATGTACGCCTATACAGGGGCATTAACTCTCTCATATATATATGTATATATACATATATATCCTATAAATATAGACATACATAGATATTTATAATAATGTATATATATAGAAAATGCTCATATATACATATATATGTATGCATGCTTGTGTATGTATGCATATATATCACTAAATGAGGGTTTCCTTTGGCTGACATTTTTAGGGTAGTGTTATTATATCTCAACATGGGAAATTCATGGGGGAATTCCAGAAAGAACATAAGAGTCAGAGGTCATGAAATGCTATAAGGGAAGAATCAGACAGAGGATTGCATTTCATGCATATGACCTATGAAAGCTTAAAAAAGATCAAATATCATCATGTATGGAATATTGACATACATTATAACCCTTGGCTGAGAAGATATTTAATTCATGGATGTTATGAGAGGAAGACTCATTTATCTGCAAGAATGTGGCCTTTCATACTCTAGCAGAGCCTCCATAGTAAAGAGTATTTGGGTATTGTTAACTGGATTCAGTAATGATTTAATTTGTATCTTTTAAAATATTACAAGTGAGAGCTAGATAAAATTTTAGAGCCGGGCGGTGGTGGCACACGCCTTTAATCCCAGCACTCAGGAGGCAGAGGCAGGCGGATCTCTGAGTTCGAGGCTAGGCTGGACCGTCAGCTTCCAAAATAATACAGAGAAATCCTGTCTCATAAAACCAAAAAAATTTTTAGAAAATTTGTCAAGGTATGAATATGATTAAAATACATATTATAAAACACACAAAAGATACAAATGTAAAGAAAATGTCAAAATTGATACAGCTCTGGTTCTAACTTTATTATTAGGTATGTAAATACAGACTTTTAAAGATTTGTCATCCCAAATTAAGATGCTGTAGTATGTTGATGACCTATTCCTTGAAGCAGAGATTCTGTATTCCACTGAAGCTTTTAGGCCATGCTATAGCTCTATATAACAGATTGGTGAAATTATGTTGAGGATATTGTTTATCTTACAAGGAGCAGTAAAATAGGGACATATATAAACATATTCATTAAATAGGGAAATTTCAAATTCATGTGTCACAGTCAAACACCTGTGTACTGTAGAAATTAAACAGAAATTTCTAATCTTCTGCTCTGTATGAAAAAAGACAGATGGGAAGAATCATTTTGAGTATAACCTATCCTACAATTAGGTGAGTCCTAACCATTATTGATATACAGTTAGAAAATCATTAAAGTTTAAAGGGGTTTCTTGCAGTTGACCATGAATACAAATCAATTATAAATTTCTGTGACTTGTGTGATCAATTTCAGAAATGCTAATTAACATTTCATATCCTAAATAAGAGAAGGTATATAATTGTCTCACTTCTGTGCATACATTTTTCAGTTGATAATATAATGTGAGATCCTGTAGAGATGTGCAACCTTTCTCTCTAAGATTTCTGCTTACCTGTCTCATTAGAAATCTCATTGTCTGGACAAGGAATGCAGCCATAGCAGCAAACAGCCTTGCCCTCCAGGGAAACTTTCCTGAATCCAGGCCCACAACTCTCACTGCACACAGACTGAGGAATCTGAGAATAATGAAAGCACTGTTAACCAATAATCAGAGTTTATTGAAAATTCCAATAATACTGGTTTTGAATATTAAATAATTAATTTTAAAGATTTATTTTTACAATACAGAAAATGATTTTAAAGGGCTGTGTTCTATACAAGATTGATTAGGGACTATCACAATGTTAGGAATTTGGAGCACAATTAGTTAGGGAAAGTTTGAAGCAGGTAGGTCTATGAAAACATGACTTAGAAGAGCAACTGGTTCTTTAAGATAGTTCCTATATCTTTACTTACTGAGTAATATGTCAAGAAACTTTTAAGTCCATCATCATTGTGAAACATAGTTGTCATCTTGACAAGACTTATAATAATCATGGAAGTAAATTGTTGGGTATTTCAGTGAGTAATATTAAAGAGAATGTTAAAAGTTTTACTCTATAAATGGGGGTCACTATTCCATGGGTTCAGAAGGAATGGGAATGGAAAGATATGCTATCTGTGGTACTTACTGCTTTCTGCTGAGAGTATGATGTCATTAGGAAACTCATGATCTTTAGTCAATCAATTTTCAAAGATAAGGGCTGCATCTGTACACTTTCAGTAAAAAGAAACGATTTCTTAGGGTATTCTATGTATGTATTTATGTGCAGCAGGACTGGAGATAAACACAAAGGCCTGTACTCTCTATTAGTTTCTCTATAAAGAGGTGGAAAGGGGAAATGATAATTGATTGTGCACTGAAAATTTTAAGAATGTAATTAAAATCAACAATTCCAATGTAGAGAGGAATGGGAGGTGAGTGATCTACTTCCCACTTGGAACACACATCCACCAGGACACTTGGTCCCAGGGAAAAACACTGGGCTCTGCCCTGAACCATCTCCGCTACACAACCAGGTCAACAGGAAAGACTCTTTCTGGCAGGCTATACTAATGCGTCCAAATTAGACCTTGTATCCTACAAGTCCCATGCTGCCCCCAAACCCACCCATCCCCAGTGAGTCCTGTGGCTCCCTGGGACTCACATAGATAGTGCACAGAGGACTGAATGAAAATAATGGGAAAGGAGACTGAGAGAGAGGACAGAGAGTAGTCTATAGGACGCAGACATCTACTGTAGAGATTGGGCTGAGAAAGAGGACAAAGAGGGCTGGATCAAGAAGCAATGAAACTGCCTGCACCAAAGAAAATACGAGACATCAATACAAGAATATGTTCAACAGCTGAGTAACATGGCAACAACAGAACCTAGTGGTACTACATCAGGACAACTAGAGCATCCCAACACAGAAGAATCAGAAGAAAGTGACCATAAATAAAACATGCTAAAGATGACAGATGTGCTATGGACGAAATGAAGAATTCTGTTACCGAAATGGAGGAAAAGACACACAAAATATTGGAAAAAATGTATAATTCCCTTAAAGAAATAAAAACAACCAAGAAAAAAACATGGGGAGTATGATTACCTTACTAAAATGGAGGCAATAAAGAAAACACAAATGGAGGGAATTCTGGAAATGGAAAATCTGGGTTAATGAATGAGAACTGCTGATACCACCTACATAAACTCAATGCAAGAAAGGGAAGAGAGAATCTCAGGTATTGAAGACACAATGGAATGAATAGATTCATTAGTCAAAGAAAACATTAAAGTCAAAAAGTCATAACACAAAATGTTTGGGAAATCTGGAACACACAAAAAAGACAAGACTAAGAATAATGGGGTCAGAAGGAGAGGAATACCAGCTCAAAGGCAGAGAAAATATGTTCAACAAAATCACAGAAGAAAACTTTCCCAATGTAAAGTAGCAAATGTCTATGGAGATAAAAGAAATATATAGAACACAAAATATAATGGATCAAAAAAATCTTCCTGCCACATAATAATCAAAACACAGTATATACAGCATAAATAAAAATATTAAGTGCTACAAAGGAAAATGGTCTGGAAACATATGAGGGCAAACCCATCAGAAAAACACCCAACTTTTCAATGGAGACTCTCAAAGCCAGAAGGTTCTGGAGAAACATTATGCTAAATCTAAGAGATCATAGATGCTAGTCCAGATTAATATATCCAGCAAAACCTTCACTTACCATAGTTGGAGAAAACAAGACATTTCATGAAAAAATATTAAACAGTACATATCCAGAAACCTAGCCCTACAGAAAGCTCCAGAATGAAAAGTCCAAACCAACAAGGTTAGACATAACAAGGAAAACACAGGCATTAAATAATCCCCCAGAAGCAATTCCCAAACACACACCACCAACACCACAAAATACCAAAAATCACTGCTCATTGATACCCCTTAATGTCAATGGACTTAACTCACCTATAAAAGACACAGGGTAATGGAATGGAGAGGAAAAGAAGATCTGTCCCTCCGTTGAACACAAGAAACCCACTTCAATTTTGAAGACGGACATTTCCCCATAATGAAGGAATAGGACTTTCCAATAAAATAGACCTAAGAAGCAAGCTACTGTAGCTATCTTAATATCTGACAAATGGACTTCAAACTAAAGGTAATCAAAAGGATCATGATGATCAGTTCATATTTGTCACAGGAAAAATGCAGCAAGAAGAAATCTCAATTCTGAAGATATAGGCATCAAATACATTGGCACCAACATTGATAAAAGAAACTACATTAAAGCATAAATCACACATCAAACCTCACACACTAAAAGAAGGAGACTTTAACACTCTGCTCTCATCTGGCAGGAAATTAAAGAAAAAATAAGGGATCTAACAGATGTTATAACTCAACCAGACTTAACAGATTTTTTTAGACATTCCACAAAATCACAAAAGAATACAACACGTGGAACCCTCTCTAAAACTGATCATATACTCAGTTTCAAAGCAAATCTCCACAGATAGAGAAAATTGGAATAATGCCCTGTGTCTTATCACCAGAGCTTAAAATTAGAATTAACCAAAACACAAATTCTAGAAATCCTAAAAACTCATGGGAACTGAATAACGCCCAACTTAATTACACCAGGGTAAAGGAAGTTATAAGAAATAAACACTTCCCAGAATTCAATGAAAATTAAATTAATGTACAACCTTTTCAAACTTTTGGGACACTATAAGATCAGAGCTAAGAACAATTTTCATATCACTAAACACCCAAATAAAAAAGTTAGAGAATACCCACACTATTGAATTAACAAAACATGTGATGGCTCTACAACAAAAAGAAGGAGGAGTTGATTCAAGGAAGTAATCAAAGTGAGGGCTAAAATTAATGAAATATAAATAAAGAGAATGATATAAAGAATCAATAAAAATTTATGTTATTGAGATAAACAAGATAGACAAACCCTTATCCAAACTAACCAAAAGGCAGATAGAGAATATCCAAAACTGACAAATCAGAAATAAAAAGGGGGACATAGCAACAGACACTGGGGAAATCCAAAGAATTATCAGATCATGCTTTGTAAACCTGTAGTTCAAAAAATTGGAAAATATAAAACAAATCGACAATTTTCTGGATTGGTACCACATACCAAAGTAAAATCCAGACCAGGTAAACAAATTATACAGACATATCACCCCTATGGAAATAGAAGCAGTCATCAAAATTCTCCCAAACAAAGAAACAAACAAACAAAGAAACAAACAAACAAAAACTCCTCAGGCTGGATGGTTCCAGCACAGAATTGCACCAGAACTTCAAAGAATAGCTAATATCTATACTCCTTAAACTGTTACACAACAGAAACAGAAGGAACATGGAAAATACGTTTTTAATGCAAATTACCATGCTACCCATACCACACAACGATGCAACAAAGATAGAGAACTAGAGACCAATTTCCCTCATGAATATTCATGCAAAAATGCTCAATCAGGTACTAGGAAAAAAAATTCTAGAACATGTCAGAAAAATTATCCACCATGAGCAAATAGGCTTCATCTCATACATGTAGGGTTGGTTCAACATGTGGAAATCTGTCAACATAATCCACCATATGAAACACCTGAAGAAAAAAAAACCTTCATGATAAAAAGAAGTTCTGGAGAGATCAAGGATACAAGGAACATGTCGAAACATAATAAAGGCACAATATAGCAAACCAACAGCCAAAATTAAGTTAAAGAGAGATAACTCAGAGCTATCAAGGGCATACAAATTGGAAAGGAGCAAGTCAAACAATCACTATTTGTAGACGATTTGATAGTGTACAGAAGTGACCCTAAAAATTCTACCTGGGACCTCCTGTAGCTGTTAAACACCTTCAGTAATGTGGCAGAATACAACATTAACTCAAAAAATCAGTAGACTTCATTATACAAATGATAAAGAAGCTGAGAAGGAAACCAGAGAAATATCACCCTTTACCATAGCATAAATATAAAATATCTTGGGGTTACACTGGCCAAATAAGTGTAAGACCTGTACAACAATAACAATGTCCCCAAAGAAAGGAATTAAGAGGATATCAGAAAATGGAAAGATCTCCCATGCTCTTGGTTAGATAGGATCAACATAATAAAACTGTCAATCCTACCCAAAGCAATCTACAATTCCTTATAGTTTTGAAAGAGCAATACTCAAGTTCATATGGAAAACCAAAAGCTCAGAATAGCTTTAAAATTACTATACAATAAAGGAACTTACAGAGGCATTGCCAACCTAGACTTCAAACAGTACTATAGAGTTCTACTAATAAAAACAACTTGCTATTGTCATAAAAACAGACATGTGCCTCAATAGAATCAATGTAAGTCCCTGATATAAATTCACACACCTATGAACACTTGAATTTTGACAAAGAATCCAAAATGTTATAATAGAAAAAGGAAAATATTTTTAATAATTGTGCTGTCAGAACTGGATGTTAGCAAACAGAAGATAGCAAATAGATCCATATCATTTGCCATACAAATACTAAAATTCAAGTGGATCAATGACCACAACCTATACTCAGCTACATTGAACCTGGTAGAAGTAAAATTGGATGAAGCCTGGAATGCATTGTCACACCAGATCACTTCTTAAATATAAAAATCAGTAGCATTCCCACTGAAAGCAACAATAAATAAATGGGACATCCCAAAATTGAAAAGCTTTCATAAGGCAATGGACACTCTCAATAAGACAAAATATCAACCTATAGAATGGGAAAAAATCTTCACCAACGCTACATCTGGCAGAGGGCTGATCTCCAAAATTTATAAAAAACTTATGAAAGTAGACATCAAAATGTAAAATAACCCAATTGAAATTTGGGGTACAGAGCTAACAGAGAATTCTTACCAGAAGAATCTCAAATGGCCAGAAGACACTTAAGGAAGTGCCTAACATCTTCCATCATCAGGGAAATGCAAAACAAAATGACAATGAGATCCCATCTTATACCTGTAAGAATGACTAAGATCAAAAATACTGAGGACAGTTCATGTTGGAGAGGATGTGGAATAAGAAAAAACTCTTCCACTTCTGGGGGGATTGCAAACTTGTACAGCCATTCAGTTTCTAAGAAAATGATACTCGGTCTACCTCAAGAGCCAGCTATACTACTCTTCTTCATTTACTCAAAGGATACTCAATTTTAGCAATAGAACATATGATCATCAGTGTTCATAGCAGCCTTATTTGTAATATCTAGAACCTGTAAACAACACAGATGCCCGCAGCTGAAGAATAGATGGGAGATGAGAACACAAGGGACTGACATGGACTTGGTGGGGAGGAAGCCAGTGGAAGAGCAACGAAAAATATATATTAATAGAAAGAGCCACTATGGGTTTAGGGAGAAACCTAGTTCTAGGATAACTTCCAGTAGTATAAAATGAGTTGTCCAAGTAAGTCTACTAGCATTAGTAGAGAAGATGACTGAACTGGCCTATCCCTGTAATCAGTATGATGAATACCTCAACTGTTATCATAGATTCCCCACAGAGTAATTGATGGAACCAGACAGAGAGATCCTCATCCAGGAATCAGGTCAAGCTTTGGGAATCCATTCAAAGAAAAGGAAGAGGTAACATTAACAAGGGAGGTCAAGATTATAATGGAGAAATCTACAGAGACAGCTGAATAAAGCTCATGGAAACTCATGGAAACAGTATCTACAACTGTGGAGACTCCAGGGCACCAAACCAGGCCCTCTATAAGTAGCAGAAGTTGTGAAGGTTGGAATTTTAGAGTGGCCCCTGGCAGTAAGACCATAATATAAACCTTGTATATGAGCTAGCTTGTTGCAGCCTATTTCCTAGGGTGAGATGTCCTGCTTTCTTGGAGTAGGACCATGATATAATTGCAGTAAATGAGCTAGCTTGTTGGAGCCCATTCCTATATTTGCAATGCCATGCTAAACCTTAATCCTTGTGAAGGCACTGGCCCTGCCCTAACCTGCTGTGTCAGACTATATTGACTCCTCATTTGAGTCCTTCCCAGTGAGGAAGAGTGGACTGGGTGTGAGCTTGTGGGCAAGTGAGGGAGGTTGGTAGGAAGTGAAGAGTGTTGGAGGTTGGATGGGAGGGACAAGTGCTGTTGTAATTTAAAATAATGATGTAATTAAAATATGGAAAAACAAAAGCATTATGAATTACTCAAGGTTCAGATACAGGGAAGGAATACGAATAGACACATTCTGTATTGGTTTGAATGAAAGATGCAATTATAGGCACAGATATGTGACGACAGATAACCCCAATGATGGTATTATAGACAGAGTTCTTAAAACTTTAAGAGTTGCATACTTATTCTCAGAATTACTTCAATACTGGGGAACTGTGAACATTTATGAGACTAACCACAAATCCAGTTTTCTCTCTCTATTATGTGGACTGGCACATATTGTTTCAGAATCCTGACCATACTTCCATGGATATAACAACCGTGCATGTCTCCTGATCATAAAGTACTCTCATACCTCAAGTACTATAAATCAAAATAAACCCATTTTCAAAAGTAACTTTTTGTGATGCTGTTTGATCACAGCAAGAGAATATAAGTACTATATATTTTTGTAATGTGAATCATAAATTAAGAGACTACCTCCAGCAGAATATCCTAGGAGACATTATGGAGATTGCACACCTACTTCTCAGGTATGCATAATTAGTGTCGGGTTGATAAAAAGTAACCCATGCATGATTGAATATTAACAGACATTTAAACCTATAAATTTTATCTTTAAGAATCAGGGAACAGTAAAAACCTGTATACTGGTAGTCATTTGTCAATCTTTTCGACTAGGAGTTTTATAGTAATTGGGTTTGTGTTAGAAACAGTGATTTGTTTTATTGTGAATATATTTGTGTTATCATGACAACTTTAGTGCTTGAAAATAATCATAACTCACCTCAGAATACATTTTTGGCCATTGTATCAACTGTGTAGTTAAAGATAACTGTTGATCCTGGGGAGCATTGGGTAAAAAGGTTCCCACTTTCACTTTTAGTCCAAGACCCTTTGGAAAATTCCAAAAGCTGAGAATGTCATATTTATCTAACTCCTGTTTCCAATGTAAAGCCATGTTGTCACTGGCATAACTATTTCTCAAGAAAGCATGAAGCTGAAAGGGATGTAAGAACATATTTTAAAGTAGGTGTGAGAGGTTGATCAGAAATGGATTATAGAAAGACCCTCATTGTTTAAAATCTCTGATGTAGTACACCCCACTAATGTAGGCATGACTGAGGCTGAGAAATGATTTCCTGTGTTAAAGAGATGCCATTCTATATTGGAAAGAACAGCCAACATCAAGAAATTCTTCAAAAGACTCAGGAAAGAATCAATGAGTAAAGATTGAAGTAAATCTCAATTTCTTTTTTTAAAAGCTTCACACATTTACTTATGTGCATAGTGTACCCCAAAGTTCCATGAATAAACTGTGTTTACTGATGACTAAATGTTAGTTAAAAGAAATTATTTATGTAAAAATATTTTGAGCTAATGATCTCTCATTGTTTCAGTAAGTGAGAGAATGCTTAGTTTTCTAATGGAATCTCTTACCAAGAGAAGGTTATGAGGCTATTTGTGACAGAATATGTAAACACACTAACATAGTTTCCTTCTTGCCACTAGCACTTTAGCAACATGCACACAAAGGGTTGCACTACCTTATAGGAAAAGTAAACAAAATTCTCCTTTGATATTTTTAATATAATGATCAAATATGTAATACCTAATTTGGTGCTTTACATATACTTTCAAAATGTCACCTTGCTGATGCTCTAATACAAGGGAAGGGGTATTACCTGCCAGGGAAAGAACACCATTTCTTTCCCACTTCCAAATGGTTGCATTTGTACTTGCTGAAGGCTCATCTCATGGACACTGTGGGCAACAGTATATACAGCCTTGTATACATTATAACTCTCTTCACTCATTGCCATGTCAAAAACATGTCTAGGCAGGAATTCCAAGGAAGCATTTTGCTGGCATGTCTCCAAAAGTTGACAATCAAGCTCTGAAAATGGGCATTTGAAGAACAAAAACCATAACTTAGGAAGGTAATTGTCTTCAGGGTATTTGAAAGGATTAACTGTTTTGATAAAATTTGGAAATTCAACCATCTTCTCTTGTTGAAGAGAAAAAATGATACTCCCATGGAATGAATCTAGGAAGAAATAATCAGGGTGGTTGGTAACATCCCATTGCGCATTCATGATCCAGACCTTCCATGTCAAAATCTGTTTACCTAGATTTAGCATTAAACCTTGTAGTGAATCACTGTCTCCATAAATGATGATGATATTGGCCAATGATTCCTGTATCTTCCCCAAATTTGCCCAGAATTTGTAGGAAAATGAAGTCCATGTGCTTGAGATCATTTCGACAAAAGCTAAACAGACTCTGTTTTTCTCCATATTTTTTCCTAAATCTGACAGAAACTCAGTCCCTCTGTGGTCATCTGGAAGAAGCAGACCAACCCAGGTCCAGCCAAAATGAACCATCAAAGATACCATGGCAAGTGACAGAGATTTGCCTTTGGGGGCCAATTGATAGAGAGAATTAAACTGGCTTCGGTCACTCAAGATAGAATCAAAAGGACCAATGGTAAGCTGAAGTGAAAGCAATTGAGAAAAATAGTCAAATAATGTCATCAAACACAATCATCCTTTTAAAGTCACATATGGAAATGCTCATCATGATGACTGGTTCATTCTGACTTTAAAGGTATATCTATGTGTCAGAATTTCCCTTGAATTACTGAACTCTTCTTCATTTTAATCCATCTTCTGTGTCTCCTCCATCCTTCCCTTTCTTTCTTTTCCAAGTGACTGAAATATTCATTCATCTCCAATTGTCTAGCCACTTGTCACAGATAGCTAAGTAATCCAACTGTCTGTTTTTTACCTTAGCATACCTCTGAATATCCGGCAAGGAGATCTGGCTATAACTCAAATATGATGCCTTACCTGTGGGAATTTGTAGAGTTGAAGCAGTGTCCCAAAATGGGCAGATTTTGCCCATGATGGTCCTGTTAGAGCAGCAGCTGACTTTCTTTCCTTTACACAGTTATAGTTTGAGTGTGGGTAACTCTGACCTGTGAGCCAAATGAGGGCATTCACAAGAACATTCTTATCACCGTGTTGAACATTATAAAAATCAAATCCCAGAGAAATGTTTGGTAAAAGATGGGGATTCCTGTTGATCTCCTCAATGGCAAATACCAGGGCCAGAATAAACTCATAGTTTTTAAAATTATACCTGAATAAATAAAATACACACACTAGAAGAGGTGATAGATGATACAGTGCTGCAGCTCAACCCAATGATTTTGTAGTTCAAATATTTGTGTGTATATATATATATAGTCCACATTTAAAATTTAACACCAAATGCCTTGAACTCAACCGATTATATTAACGTGTTAGAATGAAATAAAATCCTTTATATAGTATCCTCATTATTGACAGCCCCACAGCAGCTCACTTTAGTTTCAATTATATTTAGTACATTACTAAAATTATTGACCATGTATTTGAAAAATGGCCCTTATGAAGTATCATGTTTCCTGGTGCATTGCTGTTGAATTTAGTTTCTACAGTTAGAGAATATTAATATTCATAGATTTAATCATTAGCCTTTACCAGGTAATATTTTATTCAATGAATTTCACTAAGTTAATTTGCTATTCTACGACAAAATTTTCTTTGTCAGAGTTTATGTTACTTCTATATCATGAATATGTGTGTGTGTGTGTGCGTGTGTGTGTCACTGTGTTTGAAAATGTTTGAATTTTAAATGTTATGAGTACAACACGGAGGACAATCTCAACAGGCAGTTCTGGCTTTAGTTTTCCTTCAAACAAAGTATTATTTCCATAACATATGCCTGGATATCTCTATTAATTCCAGGGCTTCTTGTGTATCAGAGTTCTCTCCTCTACACGAAATCTAAATTAGAGATGTGCACTCCAAAATTTTCTAGGGGTCTGAACTCAGGTAATCTCAGTTGCACCTGAAGCATTTTTGTTTTCTGAGACATTCCTCAATTTAGTGTCAATGTCTGAGATTTAGAAAAGCAGGTTTCATTCAAATACCTTGAAAATAAGAACAAACAAAACAAAACAAAACCTGAAGTTAGGCAAGTAAACCATTTTGGGATTTTATTTTAGGGGAGTCCAAACAACCTCCATCTAAGGTATAGGCTGCTGCCCATGCCATTCATCCCTTCCAGAAAAAGAGGTATCATACTATTGCTGAAGATGCCACATGCTTCATAAAGTATGTGAAAGGATCAATCTGGAATTACCTGGAAGCCTCCCTATTTAGGACAGGCTCCCAAAAATAGAGGAGTCATACAAGCTCAAAACAGAGAGAAAACAACCAGTAGTTCTAGTTACTTGTAACTGTTAAAAAGATAGGTACTAGCCACGAACAGGATATTTGTCTGAATACATACATACATACATACATACATACATGCATGCACACACACACAAACACACACACACAACACACACACACACACACATATATATATATATATATATATATATATATATATATATATCTCAAAACCCACACACTTAAAGATCAGGCAACTGGCAGAAGACTCAAAAGTTTCTTACAAGAGAACGAGGACAACTATTGCAAGATATTCTCTTCAAATTAAGAAAGATGACATGAGTTGGTAAGTAAGTGAAATTGGAGGATTTGTTTGGAGTGGTCAGGGATAATTATGACTGAGACATATCAATTAAAAATTTCCAATCATCAATAAAATATTTTATTGACAATATTGCATTTTGAAAATTGTTCTTTCTTCTAGAACTTGATGGAAATATGGCATTAGTAAAGAAGTCATCAAGTTGCTATTGGACTAGAAGCTACATCCTTACTAACTTTCAGAGTTCTGCTGATGTAACAGAATCCTGATCTTAGTATACCTTCAGACCTTAGTGCAAATGACTCCATGATGGAAGTGTCATTCAGCCTGTCAATCTCAGCAGGTAGACAGCAACACCTGCCTAAATTGACACAAATACTGAATCCACCAAGTCCATGGTTCTGAGAGTTTCTCTTGATGAACTAACTTGCTTTTGGCTTCCATAATTCCACTTCTGGCTAACTCCTCCTGTTAACTGAAAATATGTCAACCCAGAAAGATGATTTTTGTGCTGAAAAACGCAACCTGAGATGTCTCAGTGCTCGACTAAGATTCCAAGTACACAGTATAGTCACAAGCAAGCTAATAGAAACTTTCCATTGTTTAAACTCATGTCAAAAGCAGTGTTTTCTGGTGAATACCTTCACTACTTCCATTCACATCTCACAGCAAGTCCTCAAGACACATGGGTTCTCCAAGTTCTTCAGTGAAAGCAAGAATGCAGTGATTTAGGAGCTCAAATGGGGTGTGAAACCAAAGTTCAATGTCCTCCAGATGTCCTTTGATTAGTTTGTGCCTAGGAATTGGATGAATCTGACACCTCCACTCCCAAATGAAACAAAGTGGAATGTTCCCTGGTTTGGTACCTTTGCAGGTAAGTTTGATTAAGGTGACTTCTACTTGAATATATAGGGGAAAGGTAAGAAATGGCTACTGGTCCAGTGTTCAGAAACTATGTGAGAGGACACTAGATTCCTATGTCTGTTCAGGCATATTAATGTGTGGTGTCCACCTCAGGTTGTTTTTACTGCTTCTTTTTGTGTTTTTATATGCTTTCCTGCTGGTCTTGCTTTCCTATATTCTCCTGTGTCATTCTTTCATGTGACACCCTCCTCTAACTTGGCTTAAGATCTGTGCCTCCTCTTGTTGGGGATCAAAATCCTTTTGACTCTTCAAGGTGTCCCAGAGAAAAAGCTAACAATCACATCCTCCCGTCACACTAAGGAGTGTATCTTGTTTTGTTGCTTGACTCCTCCTCAGTCAGGCCTGATCCTTATGTGTAGGTGGTGAATAGCCAGCCCTCCAGCCAGGGTCTACTGCATCTAAACAGAATGCACTCAGGGCATTTGGAATAGTTCCCTTGGGTGTGTATTCACTCCAATTTTAGCCTGCTGTAAGCCACCCTAGAGAAGGGAAAAGTATCCTTGGGATGACCCTAAAGGAAAAGAAATGTATACTCATTGTTCTTTCATGATGTGTGTCTTCTTTCTTCTTACTAGTCAATGCTTCATATAATTTGAAAATGCCACATCCACAATACTCTCTTAAAATAAAATAATAAATGGGTAGAAAAATCTCCTGTGGTGCTATACAGGGGGATTTTTTGCCATACAACACAACTTGGACAGAACAGAATCTCCCTTCTGTCCAACACTGACTAAGCAGCTTCATATAATTTTTGCTGGGTACTTTTTAAAAGATTAAAAACAGATCTTAAAAAGATTTCTTTTGTCAATCAAACTGGCACCAGATATTAGAAAAATGCTATAAGGTTTTTTAAATTTTAGGTATAATTTGGCCCTAATTGCTGGAAGTACCTCAAAGTATTTTTTGCACAAATTGAAAGGTATGATCACCTTCTCTGATGACAAGATACAGACTTAGAGATACCCAGAAAATTTTGGTGTCTTACTCACTGTCAGATGAAAACAACCCAATTGGACTGGTATAATACCCCAAGTTCCTATAATTGTTCAACTAAATAGTTCAATTACTGCTGTTCAGATTATACTATACCCAATAACTTTGGAAGTAAAAGGAAAGTTGAAGTCCATATTTTCTGAGAAGAAGAGACAGGCATACAGATGCCATGGCAGTCAGCCTGGATTACACGTCTCCTGCCTGTAAAGAAACTTGGGACATCTGATTCTCATGAGCCTGATTCTTCCAGAGAAACAGGTGTATACACCTTGTCTCTGAATGATGGACTTCTCAGCCTCACATTGACATAAATGAGTCTACCCATCTTTGCTTTTAAATGCACAGCTACAGGAAGTGGGGTTTGCAGTGTGAAACTGACCTGTAAAAGAACACACCTGGATTTAAAAATTTTACAATCCTGTATGAGGAGATACTAAACTCCTCCCTTCCATCATTATTTACCTGGAAAAATAGTTTATAAAAGGCATATTGAGTGAATGTTACAAGAGGTACAGTCCTTGGTCTACAGAATGTCAGATAAAAAGGGGTCAAACTTGTAGAAGGCTACCAATCTTGACTGCCAGCTGAATGTAGGTCAAAGGAGACTGTCTCACTAGGATTGTTGTATGTTTCAGATTCCAACTGCAAAGACAAAGGATAACATTCTAGAACTCCCAGGTGCAGCTGCTTTACCAGTCCCTGGATACCAGAGTTTGTGCAACTGGAAAGCCTCCATACAGAAGCACAAAATAGAATTAAGACCCTAATTTGGACTAACACTAAACAAAAGGCACTCAAGTCTTTAACAATAGCTCTGAATTTGTCTCCAGCCTTGGAACTTCGAGATGCCTCTAGACCTTTTCATATGTCGGCCCAGGACACAAAAGACATAGCCAGTTTTAACCCAAATGATGGGTTCCAGTTGCTGTGTCAGAGGAGCAGCAGGTGGCAATTTAATTTTAAGGTGTTACCTCACCCAGAGGCAAATCACTTTTGGATCGATGTTGGATAGACAAGGCCTCAGACTGTGGTCTCCACAAAGTCTTTTGATACTTCTGGGTCTTTACAAGTTGTCACTGCAATCTTTCTTCAGTATCTACCATAGTGTGAATGGGTATGGAGAGAGTCCCCAATGACTGTACTTTAGTGTGTTTATCTCATGTAAATTACCTGTTCCAGTGGGCATTTTTATCTGTAGATTTGCATGAAGATACTTTCTTCCTGAGCTTTACTGTATAATTGATAACAGTAATGTTAGTTAAATTAGAAGTTGATTATTGAAAACAGTTAGTACCTATGAGTTTCATCTAAAGAAGTGTATAGATCACAGTTCAGGTTAGTGATTAAGGAAAACATTTGAGTTCCCGGATCAAGGCTGGCTCAAACACTTTTAACATAGATGCTGAAAGGTGCATTAATAGTTTTTGGTGTGCAGCTTTGTTGAAACAGAGCCTTTGTATGACCTCATGTTAGAGTAAGATATTTTGATAATAGCTTTGAGGTTAGGCATCAAAAAATCAAGCCAGATTAATTATTACTAGATTACATACTTTTGTGAGGTTTGGTTGATGATCAAAATGGTGATTAATTCCCTGTACCCATTTCTACCCTCAATCTCCTGATATATATATATATATATATACATATATATATATATATATGTGTGTGTAATGAGT